ACAGGTGGGAGGGCAGGAGGTCTGTGGGAGGAGGTCTGTGAGTAATAGTGCCGACATGAGGGTGGCCTGGCGGGCCTGGATGATGGCATGTGGCACTGGCGGGCTGCCGCTGGTGGCCGCGTGCGGGCGGCGTTCGGCGGTGTAACTGCACCGCCGGCGTGCAGCTGCATGCGCTTCCCGGCCGTGTGTGCGCAGCCGAGCCTCACACCCCGCCCTTGCTGCCGCTGCCAGGCTGGAGCTGCGCCCGATCATGCACAATGAGCAGGTGTGCCAGGTCAGCACGCTGCTCACCCTGCTGTCTGGCTGCCTCAAGGCGCTGTCCGGCGGCGGCGGCGGCGGCGGCGGCGGCGGCGGCGGCGGCGGTACCGGCGGCGGCACCACACCCCAGCTGGCCCCAGACCACTACGAGCGCCTGTTCCTGTACTGCGCGACCTGGTCCCTGGGCGGCCTGCTGGATGGAAAGGACAGGCAGCTCTTTGATGCGCACCTGCGCACCCTGACCGAGCAGGCGCCGGAGAAGGTACCGTGGGGCGGCGGGAATGGGGCTAGGCTGCGCTGGCGGTCGTCTGGGACGGAAGCAGCGCAGTGCTTGGGGGGGTGAAGTAGGGGTGCTTGAGTGCAAGCCTGCGCCGCATGCGCGGCCAGGCCCCTGCCTGTGCAGCCGCTCCCGCTGCCGGCCGCTGCTTCCGCCTGTATGGCCGCGGTGCATTCTTTGTGCCTCTTGACAGCCGTACCGGCTGAACATGTCGCCACCTTTGTCTGCGGTACCGCAGATACTGGACTCCGACACTTTCTACGAGTTTTTGGTGGACGAGCGCAGCGGTCGGTGGCAGCACTGGCGGGACCGCATCCCCGCCTGGCAGTATCCCGCCGGCATCGAGCGGCCCCGCTTTGCCCAGCTCGTGATACCCACCCTGGATTCTGTGCGGTACGAGCACCTCCTGGGCCTGGTGCACTCTGTGGGCAAGGCCTCCCTGGTGAGCAGGGCTGGTGCGGCAGTGGCATGAGAAGGGAGGGGAGACGGGATAGCGCTGGTGGGGGCGGGGTGATGGGAGGGCAGCAGTGCGGTGGTGGCAAGCAGCAGGTGCAGGGAGCACAGCCGGCGGCCGCACGGGCAGTCGATGTCGGCGGCGCCAGCGGTCTGCGCGTGGGACCTGCCAGCTGCTCCCTCCTGCCCTTCCTCCCCGTGACGCCTGCTGCCCTGCGCGTCCCCCGCCCTCCCTCCTGCGCAGCTGGTGGGCGGCCCCGGCACCGCCAAGACCTCCACCGTGCAGCAGTTTCTGGGCAGCTTCCCCAAGGACGAGCACTCCTCCAAGACCATCAACTTCTCCTACCTCACAACGCCGGGCATCTTTCAGCAGGCCATGGAGGTGTGTGTGTGTGTGTGTGCACTTCTGGGGGCTGCCTGGCTTGTTTGTGGTCTGCAATGGGGGCTCGTGCTAGTGTGGCTGCAGAGGGGTGCTGCCAGCTGCCGGCTGCGGCGGCAGCCCCCGGCAGGCATCGTGTGCTGGCGGCATCCATTGCCGCCACAGCAGATTGTGCCCCCGCTTGCATCACACACACCTGCCCGCCTGTGCCTGTGCCACGAGCTTAACGCTCGCCGCTCCTGCCGCTTCGCAGGGCGCGGTGGAGAAGCGGCAGGGGCGCACCTACGGCCCCCCCTCTGGCCGCACGCTGACCGTCTTCATAGACGACATCTCCATGCCCGCCATCAACGAGTGGGGAGACCAGGTGTGTGTGTGGTTATGCTGTGGTGTGGAGGTGTGTGTGGTTGGTTGCCAGGTGGCGCGGCATTGAGCGCTGGGCCAGGCAGCTGCGGTCAGTCGCACGCCAGCCAGTCCCTCTGCGCGTGCCCCTGCTTATGCTGCTACCGGGGCGTGCATGCTCCTCCCTCCCGTTCCTCTCGCCTGGCCGCCACCGCCACCACCCCCTCTACAACCACCACCACCACCACCAGAGCACACACACACGCCACACCTCATGCACCCACCCCACCCCCGCAGGTCACAAACGAGATTGTGCGTCAGCTGCTGGAGCAGCAGGGTTTCTACTCGCTGGACAAGCCGATCGGGGACATGAAGAGCGTGGTGGACACGCGGTGGGTGCCTGCTGCTGCTGCTGCTGCTGCTGCTGCTGCTGTGCCACGCCCGCATGCCTTGCAAGACGTGGTGCCGGGCGCAGGGAGCGCACGGTCTGGTGCCAGCAAAAGTATGGTGTGCACGTGCGTGGGAAGCGTGTTGTGAAGATGCGGACGCAAAGGCTGGGGGGGAGAGGGATGCTGTGGGTGGCTGGCTGCTGGCTGTGGGCTGCCTGGAGGGGCGCCAGCAAGGCCACGGTGCAGAGCAGCAGCGCCGCGCTGCTCCAGCACAGCCACGCCTGGTGCTGGTGCTGCCGCTGCCGCCGCCATTCCTGCAAGCTGCCCGTCTGCTGTTATCGCTGCCGCTCTCTTCCAACATACCCCTCACCTCCTGCCCCTCACCGCCTGCACCCTGCCCTGCTGGCCCCCCTCCCGCTGCCAGGTTTGTTGCGGCCATGGGCACGCCCGCGGCCGGGCGCAACGACATCCCCAACCGCCTCAAGCGCCAGTTTGCCATCTTTGCGGTGCTGCCGCCCAGGTGGGGCGCTGGCGGTTTTGTTAGGGGCCGCGCCGGGCCGCCCTTGTGCACGCCCGCATGCCCCAGGAAGCTGCCGGCAGCGGCTCTCCTGAAAGATCACAGCGCTTCAGGCCAGCCGGTCTCTGGCTTGCTTGCCCACCGCCTGGCGCCTCCCCTCTCTGACCTTGCTCTTTTCCCATATATCTTTTGCGATTCTTGCTTTCCTCCCTGCTTTCCCCCTGCAGCGAGGCCGCCATCAACGGCGTGTTTGGCAGCCTGATGGCGGGGCGCTTCGAAGACCAGACCTTCAGCCCAGAGGTGCGCGGGCCGGCCCCGCATTATTATCATCGTAGCATATCATGCCTGGCTGCGCAGGCAGCGGCGCAGCCCGCGGGCAGGCGCGCTCGGCACACGTGCCAGTTGCTGGTGTCGGCATGTGCGCATCCGCGTGCTGCCCTTTACCCAGTGCTTCGGCTCAACCTCGCCCTGTCGTGCCTCGCCTCTCCCTTGCCTCGCTCCTCCCCTGCACTCCCTGCCACCCCTGCGTGGGGTCAGTGCCGCACGCTCCCTAGCCCACATGCAGACTATAGGCACAGGAGGCAGGAACAACAAACAAACCCCTCCCTGCGACCTTTGCCCGCAGGTTGTCTCCATGTCCCGCCGCCTGGTACCGCTCACCATGGAGCTGTGGGGGCGGGTGCAGGCCCGCATGCTGCCCACCCCCTCCCGCTTCCACTACCTGTTCAACATGCGGGACCTATCCAAGGTGGGTGCAAGGTTGCCGCCCCACATCCCCTGACCTCCTGGCCTCCCCCATTGCTGGCCTCCTGCGGCGCTCTCCGCTTCTCGCTGCACAGCGGCGTTGGCTCGAGGCTGGGTGGCACGGCCTGGCAGCCCGCCGCACTTGGCGGCAGCGCCGGGCCTGCTGCCGGTGCTGGTGCCGGGTGCCTGCTCCTCCCCCGCCAGACCCTCTCACCCCGCCACAGCCCACCCTCCCACTCCCACCACCCCTCCTGTCTGCGCCTCCCGCCCCGCCGAAGGTCTTCCAAGGCATCCTGCTGGCGCAGCGCGACCGCTTCGCCGCCCGCCCTGCTCCCGGTACCGCCTGTACCGCCGGTACCGGCACTCCGCCCCCCTACGGCGGCCGCGTCACCTCCCCCGAGGGCTACCTGCTGGCGCTGTGGGCCCACGAGTGCCAGCGCGTGTTTGGGGACAAGCTGGTCAGCCTTGAGGACAAGGGCTGGGTGGCAGGCACCGTGGCGGAGCTCGCCAAGCAGGTGGGTACGGATCTGTTGTTGCGTGGGGTATAGTGGGTGCGTGCGTGGTGCGGCGTGAAGACGGGAGCACCGGGCTGGGGCTCAGGGGCCGGAGGTTCGGTAGCCGCAGGGAGCAGGCGTGGCCAGGGCGCTGGCTGGCGCCGCGCCGGGCCGCAGCGCTGCCTGCCAGCCGAGCCGCGGCTCTGCCTGGCACGCTTGCCTGTATCTTTGCCGTCTCCCCGCCAGCTGGCCTCCTCCCCGCCCCGCAGGCCTTTGGGCCTGGCCTGGCTGCCCAGGTGTCCGAGCCGCTGCTGTTTGTGGACTACCTGCGGGAGCCGCGGAGGGATGAGGCCACGGGGGAGGTGGTGGAGGCGCGGCCCAGGTGCGCCTCAGGGCGTGGCGGTTGCGCCCATGCGCTGGCTTGTGTTCGCTGTTTGGTTGGCGGGGGAGTGGGTGGAGGGCGGGCGCCGCCTTGCCTGGCAGCTGCGGCTGCCTGCAACGGGAGCTGGCGGCCAACTGCATTGCTCGCTGGCCTGCACCGCTCCCCCGCCGAGTCTCCTACCTGCTCCTCCTCCGGAAAAGCTTTACCTTTACCCCGCAGTACCTCTTGTACCCGCCAGCTGCTACGATCTGCTCCCAAATGCACACCCACCGGCACCCCCTGCCCTCTGCCGTGCAGCTGCTACGAGAGCGTGCCCGGCGGCATGGAGGAGGTGTGGCGGAGGATGGACGCCTTCCAGGCGCGTTTCAACGAGGGCAGCCGCACGCTGAAGATGGAGCTGGTGCTGTTCCAGGGTGGGTGGTACCGCCTGTACTGCATGCCTGGCACTGCACGCTCGACATGAAGCTGGTGCTGTTCAAGTGTGGGTGGCTGTGTGGCAGCCAGCTGGTTGGCATGGCAGCATGCTGCTTGCTGGCTTTCTGACGGTGCTCGCTGCTCTGACAATTAGCGTTGCACTCATGGCCGAACTGACCTGGAGTACTGCATTGTGCTGCCACTGGTACCGCAGACGCGCTGGAGCACGTGGTGCGCCTGTCCCGCCTGCTAGCCATGGAGCGAGGCTCCGCGCTGCTGGTGGGTGCCTCCGAGGCTGCGCCAGCTGGCCTGTGCGTATACCAGCACAGCGCACCACCGCCTGGTCCTCTGCTTCCTTGCTTCGTTACTTTTCTTAGAGGCCTCGCCCAGGTCCAGCCCAGGGCCAGCCCAGCGCAGCGCCCCCACCTGTGCGAATAACCCGCGCATGACAACTGTTGCAACCGCGCTGAGGCGGCGTGCCTGCGCGCCGCGCTGCGTGTGCCCGGCAGGTGGGCGTGGGCGGCTCCGGCAAGCAGAGCCTGGCGCGGCTGGCTGCCTACATCGCGGGCGCCTACACCTTCCAGATCACCATCACCAAGACATACAACGTCACCAACCTGCTGGAGGACATACGGGTGCGCTGGGCTGTGCCGCGCTGCGCTGTGATGTGGTGTGCTGGGCTGGGCTGGGCTGGGCTGGGCTGGGCTGCGCTGGGCCGCGCTGCGCTGTGATGTGATGTGTTGTGTTGTGATGCGCTGCGCTGTGCCGCGCTGCGCTGCGCTGGGCTGCGTTGGGCTGCGCTGCGCTGTGGTGTGGTGTGGTGTGCTGTGCTGCGCTGCGCTGGGCCGGGCTGGGCCGCGCTGCGCTGCGCCGCGCCGTGCTGCGCTTTGCTGGGCTGCGCTGGGCTGCGCTGGGCTGCGCCGGGCTGCGCCGGGCTGGGCTTGGCTGGGCTGTGCTGGGCAGTGCTCAGAACCAGGGCCGACCGCCTGGTAAGCCTAGCCTGGCGCTGGGCTGGGATGGCTAGGTGGCTGCTCGCCGTCTGCCCGCTGTCCGGATGTGCCGACTGGCCCGCCTCCCGCGAGGGCTTAGCCGCCTGCTCAAGGCGACTGCTGTCGCCTGCAGGGCCTGTACAAGATTGCAGGTGTCAAGGGGCAGCCGGTCTGCTTCATCTTCACAGAGTCGGATGTCAAGGTGGGGTGGCGTGGCCCACCTGCTGTTTGTTTTGGGGTGCTCTTGCTTTCTTTCTTGGGGGCTGGCATGGCGAGGGCGGCCGCCTGAGGGCAGGCGGGGTGCAGCTGGTGCAGCAACAGCTGTCGGGTGGGTTGTAGTTTGTGCCCTTTCCCTACCTAAATTGGCATGTTCTCCCTTTCTTCCTTCCCTCTCCCCTTCGCCGCAGGAGGAGGCCTTCCTGGAGTACATTAACCAGCTGCTCATGACGGGTGGGCGGCGCGCGTGCCGCATGCATGCGGTACCACACACACACGCACGCACACGCACATGCACACGCATGCACACGAACTTCCCCTCCCTCACTCCAACTCCCTCCCCCCCTCCCTCCTGCAGGCGAGGTGGCTGGGCTGCTGCCCAAGGACGAGCTGGACGTCTTCCTCAATGACCTGCGCCCAGTCATGCGCCAGGAATGCCCAGGTGAGGCACGCCCAGTTGTGGTGGTGGTGGTGGTGGTGGTGGTGGCTGCGCTGCTGCGCTGCCGCTGCCGTGGGTGGGAGGGGTGCCAGGGAGCAGCAGCCCGCACCCTTCGCTGCTGCCGTCTCGCCCTGCCAGGCTCGTTGCCAGCGCCGGGGACCCGCCCTCACCTGGCTGCCCTTTCGCGTTGCCAAGCTTTCTAGCTTTCTTCCCGCCCACGGCCGTCCTTTCCTCCCATCCCGCGCAGGCGTGCCCGACACCTACGACGCCCTCTACTCCTTCTTCATCAACCGCGTGCGGGACCGCCTCCACATGGTCCTCTGCTTCTCCCCCGTGGGCAAGCGCTTTGCCCGCTGGGCGCAGCAGGTGCGCCACCTGCCTGCCGCGCCCGCTACTCGCTGCCGGTGGCTGCTGCCTGCCCCGCGAGCGGCAGCCGCAGCGGCCGGCTAAGCTGGGCCGGGCAGCCGCAGCCGTGCAGTCTGGCAGTGTGGGCTGCCTCCCCCCCCGCCTTGCCCACCTCCCTTGCCTGCCTCACTTCTCTCCCGACACACCCGCGCTCCTCATCCCTGCCTGCCTGCCCGCCTGTGTGCCTGTGCAGTTCCCGGGCCTCATCTCGGGCTGCACCATCGACTGGTACCTGCCATGGCCGGAGGAGGCGCTGACGGCGGTGTCCTCCAAGCTTCTGGACAGCTTCCCCATGGAGTGTACCGCGGAAACCAGGGCCGCCCTCAAGCACATGATGGCCTCGGTGCACGTGCAGGTCACCGCGGCATGCCAGGTGGGCGGGATACCCTGGTTGGGCAGCCCAGGGTACTGTTTAGTTCAGTATTTGATGCACATGTGTGCAGAGCGCAGTGCAACACGCGCAGCCTGCCAGCCGCGGGCATGAGCACACCCTCACCGTCAGCCCCCCTGACTGCCCCCACCCGTCGCACCGCAGGAGTTTTTCGAGCGGTACCGCCGCCAGGCCCACGTCACCCCCAAGTCGTACCTCTCTTTCATCAACGGCTACAAGCAGCTGTACACCAAGTGAGGCTGCGGCCGGGGGTGGCAGTACGCGTGTGTGCCTCTGAGTACTGGCGGTGGTGGCTGTACGAGGCCTGACTCCCGCCACCCCAATCACAGGAGGCATTCTGTGCCTCCTGTCGCGGCCCGCCCTCCGCTGCGACCTCCGGCCCGCTGCCGCCGTCCACCGTTGTCGTCCCGCCTGCCTTCCTGCCCTGTAGGAAGCTGGCGTACAGCCGCGAGCTGGCGGCCTCCATCCGCAACGGCCTGCACAAGATGGAGGAAGCCAAGGCAGACATCTCCAAGATGAAGGTGGGCTGAGGCTTGTGCGTGTGTGTGGGTGTGGGTGGTGCTGCGGGTGTGGGCGTGTTGTGTGGTGCTGTATGTGGGTGTGGGTGTGTCCACCCAGCTGGCTGGCCGGCCCGGGTTGGCTGCCTGGTGTGCCACCCGGCTGGCACAATATGTGGTGAAGCGGAGTTCTTGGGGGCTTGCTTACACCTTGTGTCGCCAACCCACGACGGCAGCCTGCGTGCTGGCTGCCGCGCCTCCTCTGCTCCTGCGACTCGCTGAAGCTTCTGCTGGTGCCGCTGCCGCCGCCGCCGCGCCTGTGCCCACGCCCCACCCGCAGGTGGAGCTGGCCGCCAAGAACCAGGAGCTGGCCCAGGCCAGCAAGCAGGTGAGCCCACGGCACCGCCGGGCCCCCATGCTGGCAACACGCACGGAATGCCTCCCCAGCCAACCCATCCATGCCCTTGACCAGCTCGGTGTAGCTCAGCGTGTTTTTTAACCACAGCAAAGGATCTTCTTTCTTGACAGAAATGGCTTCTTTCCTCCCGCCCCCGCCAAGCAGGCGGAGAAGCTGCTGCGGGAGATCAGCGACAGCACTGCGCTGGCGGAGAAGGAGAAGAACAAGGTGGCTGTGATCGTGGAGGCGGTGACCAAGAAGGTGGGCGGGCACGGCTGCGTGGCTTGCTGGTGCAGTTGTGTGTGTGTGTGTGTGTGTGTGGATGGGTAGGGAGGGCACGCGAGCGAGTGGTGGCGGTGACCAAGGCCGTGTGACAGGACGGGGCTTGCTGCTGGGGTGCTTGGGAGGGCTGGCCGTGGGGGAGTTGGGCTTGCACTGCTTGCTCCCAGTCCTCCCTAGTCCCCCTCGTCCCTGCTGGACTGGCGCCCGGGCAGAGCATGCTTCGCTGGCCGCTCTGCTGGCGCTAAGCGGGCACACCGCGCCGCCTTCCCCGCGCATCTCTCCCACGCCACCCCCACGCCTCTCCCTGCAGGCCGAGGAGATTGCGGTGGTGAAGGGCGATGCGGAGGCCGACCTGGCGCAGGCCAAGCCCGCACTGGACGCCGCGCTGGCCGCCCTCAACTCCATCACTCCAAAGGTGGGTTCATTCTGTTTTGGCAGAGGTGGGGCCTGCTCAGGCCTGCTCAGGCCTATGCTTGGGCGAGTCTGACGGCGTGCAGCAGGCACACCGTCCCTGCTGCATGTGCCTCGCCTCCATGACGGCGAGGCGCACAAGCCCTTCCGTCAGACCTCGCCATGACACGCGCACGCTCCTATCTGCCCTCCGTGGCCTGCCCTCCACAATCCCAGCCGCACCCTTTCCCCCACCCCCACCCCCCTCCCGCAGGACATTACCTCCCTCAAGGCCCTCAAGAACCCACCTGACGTCATCAAGCGCATCTTCGACTGCGTGCTGCTGCTGAGGCGAGGCCGGCGGCGGCGTGGGGTGGCTGGGCTGCTGCGCGAGGTTTTGCATGCGCCGTGGCGCCGGCAGTGATGTGGTGGGGCTGTGTGTATGCGCGTGTGTTGCGGCACCGGGCCCGTCGTCTGCTGCATGCTGCTGTGGGAGCTGCTGGGGCAGGGTGGCAGTGGTGGTGGTTGCCGGTGGTGCTGGTTCAGGGGCGGTGAGGTGTGTTCACATGATCGCATCGCATCGATGGGTGGATGTGCGGGTGCGAGTGCTGCACCTTTCGAGGAGCCGCCTGACCGGCACATGCCGCGCTGTGAGCTAAGCGCTGGATGGTTGGTGAAGTGCCCTGTCTCCCTCGCCAGGCCTCGTTCCTAGCACGCTGCTAGCGGGGCAGAGAGGAGATGCACCGCCTGGTCCATCCAGCGCTGCGCCCACGTGGGCTGCCTGGAAGGGTTGCGGGGCTGCCCGCGGCTGCCGGTGGCACGCGTTGCTGCCTTGCTGGGTGTGCCTCCTCGCCTCCCTGCCGCCGTGTCATGCCTGCGCTGCACCTCTCAGCCCTTTCCTCCTTTCCTTTCCTCCCTCCACTCAGCTCCTCCACCCCTGGTGCCTCCCCGCTGCAGGCACCTGCCCGTGAACAAGGCGGCTTGGCAGGATGTGAAGGGCGCCATGGTACTGGCGGGAACGTACGAGGAAGCTGTGAAGATGATGGGGGACATGAACTTCCTGCAGGTGTTGCAGGCTGCCGCAGCTGCAGGGCAGCTGCGGTGAAGCTGTGTGCACGCGCAGCAGCGGTGTGCAGCCTGAAGTGCACGCGGCGCGCAGGGGCGCCGCGCCGGCCGCCTGCTGCCGCTCCTGCCTGCCTGCCTACCTCCCCTGCCCTAAAGTGCTTTCCACCTGTCGCAGTCCCTCATGAACTTCCCCAAGGAGGCCATCAACGACGAGACAGTGGAGCTGCTGCAGGTGGGGGCTGGCAGTGGCGGGTGGCCGGTGGTGGTGGTGGTGGTGGCGGTGGCTGGTGGGGGGGCTGGCTGGTGATGGCTGGCTGCCTGGTGGAGGGGGGGCTTGCAGTGGCTGTTGGCAGCGGGGGCTGTGCTGTCAGCGCCTGGTGCTGGTGCTGGTGCCTAGTGGTGGCGGTGGTGGTGTGCCGTGTGGAGTCTGACGCCTGTGCTTCCCTCAGGCCAGGCTGGCCTCTACTTCCCCGCCCCCGCATTCAGCTGCTGTTCCCGCTGACCTCAAACACCTCGGCCTGCTGCCTACCCTCCCTCCAACTCTAGCAACCGTTCCCGCTGTTGACGCTGACACCCCCTCTCCCCCCCCCCCCCCCCCTGCAGCCCTACTTCTCCCCCCCCGACTTCAACTACAAATCCCCCAAAAAGGCCAGCGGCAACGTGGCGGGGCTGTGCAGCTGGGCCAAGTCGATGTGCAAGTACCACGAGGTGGCCAAGGTGAGGCGGTGTGGGGTGTGTGTGTGGGTACATGTGTTGTGTGTGTGTGTGTGTGTGTGTGAGGGGCGCAGCGTTTTGGTGGGGCAGCAGGGCGCGGTTGGCGGTGGCGGCGGCGGGCGGTGATGCGCGCGATGGGGCGGTTGGACGCCTGGCCACGGTTTGGCTTCCCACCCAGCCTGCCCCACCTGCCGTACTGCGCACCCCGACATCCTGCCTGGTGCGCTGCCCCCTCCTGCAGGCCGCAGCCTGCTGGTGCAGCTGGCGGACAAGGAGGTGGATGTGGGGGAGGGCTTCCGCCTCTACTGCACCACCCGCCTCCCCAACCCCCGCTTCTCGCCCGAGCTTTCAGGCACGCATTCTGCTTTCCGCTTCCCGCTTCCTGTTCTCCATGTGGGCAGCCTGCTGCATGTCTGGGAGGGGACGTGCAGCGCAGCTGCCTCCCCATTCACGGCGGCTGACCGCCGCTGCGCTCTGCCCTGCCTTCTCCCGCCTGCCGCTTCCTGCTTCGAGTGGCCTGTGGCTCTACACCCTCACCTTCACTTTCACCTTTGCCTCTATCTTTGTTTTGTCTCCCCCATCTCATCTCCCTTGGTATATCCCCCACCCCTGCAGCCAAGGTGGCGGTCATCGACTTCACGGTGACCCAGGCGGGGCTGGAGGACCAGCTGCTGGGCAGGCTCATCCTGCACGAGAAGGCGGAGCTGGAGGCGCAGCGCCAGCACCTGGTGGCCGAGGTGCGGCGCCGGGGGGGGGGGGGGGGGGTTTTCCCGGGGGGGGTGGGGGGGGGGAA